CTACACGCTGTATTAGGCTATATAATGACTAATAAATTACAGAACGTTTAGCAAACACTGAGGAATAAAAAAAAAAAAAAAAAAGAGAGAGAGAGAGCCTCCATAGCATAGCATAACGGAGGTAAACAGCAAAGATAAGCTTTTCAAAATTAAAAAAAGAAAAGTAAAACTAAACTTGCTGCCGGTGACAGTGCTTGCATGTTTTTTTCCCCCCACAAGAATACCAACATGTTCACCTTCTCTGGTTTAAGTAAATATAATAGTAAATATAACCAAAACAGGTTATTATAATTTTTATATGAATAATAAAATAAATATAAGGAAAACTCGCCCACTCGATTTTGTAATATTCTTTAATTTTTTATTCTGTATGAAAAGGTGCATTCCATGTGGAGATGGCGAGTCAGCGTCGGCATTCGGCAACCTCATCTTTGCACCCGACACTGACTCAGAAAGCACTAGTTTATTAATAAATAATTAAAATGTCTTCTTTTCCCTCCGACACGCTCATAATCACTTTGCCGGTGCTTTGAGGCAATTATGCGCAAGCTTAAGCTCTAGCCTATGCCTATATTGAAGTATATGGTTAATATATTATTATATTAATTTTTCCCCCGACACGTTCATAATCACTTTGCCGGTGCTTTGAGGCAATTATGCGCGAGCTTAAGCTCTAGCATATGCCTATATTGAAGTATATGGTTATCAATTTAATATAACGTGCAACTAGTTGACTAGAAAAATCTTTAGTAGAGGGCAGGCCTATACTTGGGAAGCTCTCCATTTTTAAAATAAAATGCTATAGCCTAATGACATTACGAAAAGTGCGACAGCTGCAAATCACGTCGTTATTGCACTGCACGAGTTATGCATGCATAAGGAGTCAAATGTTGTTTTTGTTTTTTTATCACCTTAATTAGATTATGAAGAATGATTTGTTGATCTGGCTTTCCCTTTAATACATACCTTCGGCAATATATTTTTCAATTACTTTCAAAAAGTGGTAGGGACAATATCGACCCTGGCAAAAAGTGGTGGAGACATGTCCCACCCGTCCCACCCGCAAATTACGCCTATGATTAGTATGTATATTACTATATTAGTATGTCTGTGATACATTACTCAACACTGCAAAAACACGTTGTAACTAAGTTAGAAACCTTTGAAGCTCCCCTGAGCGCAAATACAAATATGCTGATCGGGTCAGTCGCATTGGTGCTCCTAAGTATTTTTCATAGTCGCACGCAGTAGTTTTCAGTCGCAAATGCACTGCTTCTCACGCAGGGCTGGGCATCAGCTCACATGCTACGTTTTTTTCTCGCGCTACCCCATCTCCACCCCCAATCATTAGAGCTGTTTCGTTTTGTCTTGGACAGCGCATACATGACAATTTTTTGAAATAGCACCATTCTACTAAATAAAATTGATTTCAAATTTAATTCAAGCACTTTCAAGGACCTATATTTGTTTTCAAGTACTTTCCAGGCCTTGAATCCATGTGTCTGATATTCAAGTACTTTCAAGAAGCGTGGGAACCCTGTTTAAAATAAAGTATATTCTGTTTCAGTGTGCAAAAGTCTTACCGGGCTCTCTGCATTGCTCCAGATGATTTGTGTAAGGTGCTGCTGGAGGTCTGAATCTAAAGGAGCACCAGTAACTTCCCAAACCTCACTGAGGCACTCTCTCAGCCTCTTCAGCCAAATAGTAAACACTACAAAGAAAACACATATGCATACAACTTTAGTCACCGCAGTCATGCACAGACCCAGCAATATACAGAATGACGCATGAGGATAGAGAGCTTGTACCTTGAAAAACATAGTAATGACAGTCAAGCTTTTCTTCACAAAGAGCTGAGATGAAGGGGAACAACCCATTCAGGAGAAGACAAGTCTGATAAAACAAAAGAAAGAGTAAGTAATTATATGTTCCACTTTGGATCATTCTTAGAAAAAGCAGTCTATGCGCTGCTTGCATACCCCTTGGTTGCTATGGTGACTGACAAGAATGTCATTTCTGCAGCAAGTTAACAACCCCCTGCATACAGCCAGTCTGTCCACTCCGTCCTGACGTCTGGGACGACAGTCCACCTGTAGCTCACCTACCGTCAATCTCCACGGTTCTGAGACATACAACATTCACATATCACAAAAGACCGGCAACTATCAAAGCAAACTAGTTAGTTAATTGTACATTATAGATCAAGAAAAGACATTTATATTGTCATATTGTTACAAAAAAAATTTACATTTCAAATAAAGCTTTCTATTTATCAAAAGCAACACAAACATTTTCAACACTGATAATAATAAGAAATGTTTTTCAGCAACAAATCAGAATAAACAGAGATAAAATGTAAAAAAAAATTAAAATTTAAATAAAAATAAATAAATAAATACAATTAAAATTTAACTTTGCCTTTACAGGAATAAATTACATTTTAAAATACATAAAAAAGTATTACAATTTAAATAAAAAAATAAATATTACAATTTCATTGTATCTTTTTTTACTGTATCTTTTATCAAATAACACACATTCAAAAACATGATTTTTTTTCAAACAAATCTTACAACCGCAATATTTTAAACGGTAGTCATATGCCTTTAAACGGATAGTTCACCCAAAAAATGAATTACTCAAGTCGTTCCAAACTCATAAGACCTTTGTTCATCTTCAGAACACAAATTAAGATATATTTGATGAAATCCGAGAGCTTTCTGACCCTCCATAGACAGCAATGCAACTGACACGTTTAAGGCCCAGAAATCGTTAAAATAGCAGCATTCTTACACCGTTTCCAAATTCAAATTCAAGCACTTTCAAGGTGCATATTCAAGCTTTTCCAGCACTTTAAACTGTGGTAAAAATTACAGCTTTACACACACACACACTTGAGTTTTTCCCTTTAAATCAGATGTTACTGTGCTATTAAAAACCACCGGTCTGGATAGCATATAGCATTGCATAATATAAATAGCCAACATACAGTATATAAATTATAAAAATAAAAAATAAAGAATTTACAGGGTATCTGCAGGATTTTTTAAAATAATATTTAAGGCTTTTTACCTTGCAAAAATAAAATAAATACTGTATGAGTGGGGTAGGGCAATGTCTATTGTAACATATTAAACCATAAAATGACTTTAAAAAACGTGATTTGCAGTTCAAATACAAATAGAAAGAGTTGTATAAAGTGACAAACCTCAAATTGACAAACCTCAGCCCTTAAAATATTTTTTAAAAATCAAGAAAATTTCCCAAAAAGGTCCATCGCCCAACACAAAATTAATTTGCTGAATGCATAAACTGTATTTTCCTGCACTCAAACCTGCCAATCTAAAGGAAACATTGTGTATGGCGTTTGAGGTCATTTGTGAATTACCATAGACTTATAGTCTAAATAAAACAATTTGCAACTATTACTGTTATTACACTTGTATACAAAACTTTGTATTATGCTTGTTATAGAGTGCGTGGCGTCACGTGCTCTACCGCCGGTGGCAGTAGACAATGTGACGCGGTTGTCACGGCAACCGTCACAGCCCTAGTAGTTGCGTTGCTGTCTATGCAGGGTCAGAAAGCTCTCGGATTTCATCAGAAATATCTTAACTTGTGTTCCAAAGATGAACGAAGGTCTTACAGGTTTGGAACGACATGAGGGGGAGTAATTAATGACAGAATTTTCATTTTTGGGTGAACTATCCCTTTAAGTACCAATTAAATACTCTAGCTGACCTGTGTTGGTGATTTGCAGCAGACTCCAGGCAGCTGATCCTGCACACTGACTGTCTGTCGCTGTAGTGAGCAGCATTGCAACCGCAGTGCCAGCCAACAAACGTGTATCTCTGCTGGAAACCTGAGAAACACCATTAAATGACACAAAATTAGACTGCTAGATACAATCATTTTAGTTTTTTCCAAACATACAGTTGCGACCACAAGCACCAACCTCTCCTAAGATAACGCTCATCAGGAACTCCAAAATATCTCTCAAACTCATATTTGCACTTTCCTTACTGTAGACCATCAGGGCCACCTGACCAGGTAGCAACTGAAACACCTGCAAACAAACCTGAGAACAACACAACAAGAGCTGTGAGGATGCAGATTCACATCAGCTGTTGTTAATCAATAACTAGATTTCCACCTTGACAGTCTGATAGCACAGTGGCCCATTTCTGGTTGCTTCATCTGACATAACAGCAGGAATCAGCTCGGCGACTTTATTAAGCAGAGCGCTGCATTCTGCTTTGAGAACCTCTCGTCCCGTAGTGATGTCCTCCAGGAACATACAGACTGCCATAGGACACACACCACAACTATTACAACACAACAGACATGACTACAGATGTCTGTACAGTAGTAGCGAACCGATGCGGCATTTTCTGTCAGCTTCTGCAAGAAAATCCTTAGCGTGTCTTTGACATCACATGATATTTGATCTTCTGAAACGACAGATTTCATAACTGCATCAGCTTGTCCCGAGGAAAAAATGAAAATCGTCATAGTTGCGAGCTTCAGACTTGTGTACACAGCTCCATGTGTATTGTGTAAACTCCATCTCATTCTACAGCGAGTGTCACGTACATGATTAGCGCACTCCAGCGCCCCTACCGGCGCGACTGTATGGCTAATACAGTATCAGTCTGTAAACGCAGTCTTTGATGCTGCAATACGTTTTTAAAATGAACAGTCCTTGAATCCAAATGAACAATTACTTGCCATGCTTCCCATATGACTGGGCTAAAGGTGGGAGCTAAAAAGCGGCAATAGTTTAATTGAATGCTGCATTAGCTTTCAAGAAGTCAGTTTGTTTTATGCTGGCTTAGCTAACAGAGCATGTACCTGTTATCAGTGTTGGGGAGTGACTAGTTACATGTAGTAAATGTTGGGGAGTGACTAGTTACATGTAGTAAGTGTTGGGGAGTGACTAGTTACATGTAGTAAGTGTTGGGGAGTGACTAGTTACATGTAGTAAGTGTTGGGGACTGCTCATCCCAAATCAAGTTAAAGTGCACTTGAAAAAAGAATAACAAAACAGCATGCAACAGTACTTTTGAACAGTAAAATATTGTTGAATGCATCTCTCTGCTCCCTAAGTTACCTGGCATTTTCTGTCAGCTTCTGCAAGAAAATCCTTAGCGTGTCTTTGACATCACATGATATTTGATCTTCTGAAACGACAGATTTCATAACTGCATCAGCTTGTCCCGAGGAAAAAATGAAAATCGTCATAGTTGCGAGCTTCAGACTTGTGTACACAGCTCCATGTGTATTGTGTAAACTCCATCTCATTCTACAGCGAGTGTCACGTACATGATTAGCGCACTCCAGCGCCCCTACCGGCGCGACTGTATGGCTAATACAGTATCAGTCTGTAAACGCAGTCTTTGATGCTGCAATACGTTTTTAAAATGAACAGTCCTTGAATCCAAATGAACAATTACTTGCCATGCTTCCCATATGACTGGGCTAAAGGTGGGAGCTAAAAAGCGGCAATAGTTTAATTGAATGCTGCATTAGCTTTCAAGAAGTCAGTTTGTTTTATGCTGGCTTAGCTAACAGAGCATGTACCTGTTATCAGTGTTGGGGAGTGACTAGTTACATGTAGTAAATGTTGGGGAGTGACTAGTTACATGTAGTAAGTGTTGGGGAGTGACTAGTTACATGTAGTAAGTGTTGGGGAGTAACTACCTACATGTAGTAAGTGTTGGGGACTGACTAGTTACATGTAGTAAGTGTTGGGGAGTAACTACTTTGGGGAGTAACTACTTACATGTAGTAAGTGTTGGGGATGTAGTAAGTGTTGGGGAGTAACTAGTTACATGTAGTAAGTGTTGGGGAGTAACTACTTACATGTAGTAAGTGTTGGGGATGTAGTAAGTGTTGGGGAGTAACTAGTTACATGTAGTAAGTGTTGGGGAGTGACTAGTTACATGTAGTAAATGTTGGGGAGTGACTAGTTACATGTAGTAAGTGTTGGGGAGTAACTAGTTGGGGAGTAACTAGTTACATGTAGTAAGTGTTGGGGAGTAACTACTTACATGTAGTAAGTGTTGGGGATGTAGTAAGTGTTGGGGAGTAACTAGTTACATGTAGTAAGTGTTGGGGAGTAACTACTTACATGTAGTAAGTGTTGGGGATGTAGTAAGTGTTGGGGAGTAACTAGTTACATGTAGTAAGTTTTGGGGAGTGACTAGTTACATGTAGTAAGTGTTGGGGAGTGACTAGTTACATGTAGTAAGTGTTGGGGAGTAACTACCTACATGTAGTAAGTGTTGGGGACTGACTAGTTACATGTAGTAAGTGTTGGGGAGTAACTACTTTGGGGAGTAACTACTTACATGTAGTAAGTGTTGGGGGTGGAGGAAGTGTTGGGGAGTAACTAGTTACATGTAGTAAGTGTTGGGGAGTGACTAGTTACATGTAGTAAGTGTTGGGGAGTGACTAGTTACATGTAGTAAGTGTTGGGGAGTAACTAGTTGGGGAGTAACTAGTTACATGTAGTAAGTGTTGGGGAGTAACTACTTACATGTAGTAAGTGTTGGGGATGTAGTAAGTGTTGGGGAGTAACTAGTTACATGTAGTAAGTTTTGGGGAGTGACTAGTTACATGTAGTAAATGTTGGGGAGTGACTAGTTACATGTAGTAAGTGTTGGGGAGT